TAATTTAGTAACACTGTTAAAATGTAAACTTGTGGCATTTAAATTAATTGTAGTTTTTTGTTTGTAATTTATTAAGATAATCATATCTGCTCTTATTGTAAATGTTTCATCAGTGGACATTATTCCCAAGACAAAATCGGTCATCATAACTTGCTCTGCCTCTGAAAACCCTTTCTTATTCAGTGATGTGTTATTTTACCATCACTGACATACTATTATAGCTTTTATAAATATATAAATATTTTTAAATAGACTTTATTTTTATATTTTCAGGTTAGAAATTTTCATAATTTGTTTTCTTTTTTTAAATATATAGTTTTGATTTATTACTGCAACAAACTAAATGAGAATGAGAAATTTGCCTTTTTTATTTTCTGTTTCAGTAAATTATTATTTTATTTAAGTAATGGAAATGATTTTTTTTGGGTTAAGTTTAGTTTAGATAATAATAACCCTGCCAGGCACTTATTTTCTTTTTATTTCTTTTTATGAAATTCATCATTAAGATACACATCCTATAAAATGGTATATCCTACTAACCAATTCGTATCATTTCAAGCCAGTAGTACCTGTGGAAGTTGACTTCAGCCTGGCAATCATGAGACCCAAAGTGCAACAGTTTGCTGCTAAGACCAAGAGGCGTGGCTTATGGAGAAGAACAGGCAGTGCTTCACTCAGCATGCTCTCCAGAGCAACGAAACAAGGATCCTTCCTGAGAGAGCGCAATGGAGCAGTGAATCAAGTCATGGTTAAGGAATAACTTATCCTGTATGTGAGTGAAGATCTGTGTGTACCTGACTCGTTCTGGCTCTGTGATGGCAAAGTTTAGTAAAGCAGAACACGCCGTTTCCAGACTGGGGTCTCGGGTCACCGTTTTCCCGCTCTGACCTCTCAAAGACGCCCAACCTTGACTCAGAAAATCCACAAGCAAGGCTGGAGTATCCAGAGAGAGAAGAACCTGCCTTGGCCCATCTTCAGCGGAGAGGTGGCACAGAGATGGGAGAAGATATCTAAGAAAGAGCAGGAACATATATACACTTAAACAGACAGCATAAGATCTCAAAAAATTCTAAAATAAATTAATATATACATATTTTGCAGATTTTATTTTATTACTTCCCATGACCTTTTCAGGATTGTGGGAACTTTTTATTAAAAAAGCCATAGTAATGTCTTACCTAAGAGCAGCTTCTCTGCTCCAGGTCCCATCTTGTGAACTGTTGCTGATGGACATCTTTGACATCCAATCAGCAAGTCCCTTGCCTTTTCCCCCTCCCTTGAAGTGACTTTTAGCATAGCCGATGAGAAAAGGCAAGAGGTCAATGACTTCTTCCTTCAGACATGAGGTTTCCTCAGCAAGCCATGCACAGAGGGAGCGAAAAGTGGCGAACAGAAATGGATCATCATAGCTGGTCTGCTCCACCTAAATGGGGAAACAGTGAGTAACAGTTTATAATTCTAAGTATTCCAAGTATTTTCCCATTTAATTCAAGTTCTTCAAACAGACTTCTAACAATACATACAAGTTTGGGGTCAGTATGATTTTTTCTAAAGAAAACTTTTATTCAGCAAGGACGTGTTAAATCGATCAAATTATTTCTACGTCTATTTCAAATAAATGCTGTTCTTTTTAACTCTCTATTCATCAAATAATCCTGAAAAAAAAAAGTTTCCACAAAAAAATATGAAACAGCTTTACAGTTTTCAACATTAACATTAACTGGAGATGTTTCTTGAGCACCGATTTAGCTTAACAGAATTATTTCTGAAAGATCTTCAGGACACTGAATACTGGAGTAATGATCAGTTTTGCCATCGCTGGTCTGCTCCACCTAAATGGGGAAACAGTGAGTAACAGTTTATAATTCTAAGTATTCCAAGTATTTTCCCATTTAATTCAAGTTCTTCAAACAGACTTCTAACAATACATACAAGTTTGGGGTCAGTATGATTTTTTCTAAAGAAAACTTTTATTCAGCAAGGACGTGTTAAATCGATCAAATTATTTCTACGTCTATTTCAAATAAATGCTGTTCTTTTTAACTCTCTATTCATCAAATAATCCTGAAAAAAAAAAGTTTCCACAAAAAAATATGAAACAGCTTTACAGTTTTCAACATTAACATTAATTGGAGATGTTTCTTGAGCACCGATTTAGCTTAACAGAATTATTTCTGAAAGATCTTCAGGACACTAAATACTGGAGTAATGATCAGTTTTGCCATCACGGAAAGAAATTACATTTCAAAATAGTTATTTTAAAATTGTAATACTATTTCACAATATTCCTGTTTTTACTGTATTTCTGACCAAATAAATGCAGCCCTGGTGAGCACAAAAGATTCTTCAGAAACATTCTTACCGACCACAAACTTTTGAACCGTAAAACAGTGATGCATATGTTTAACACTTGCATTCTCACCTGTTTCAGATAGTACATTTCAGCTGAGAATGCCTCCTCTAGAGCTCCTAGGACCTGTCTGCTCTGCTGAAGACTCAGGCCAGTGATAGCTGTCTGTATCTGAGCAGGGTGTGAAACAGCCCCTTGGCTACAGGCTTGTTCCATAGCCGCCTCCATGATGCGATAGCAGGCAGTAAGTATGTGCTGCAGCTGGGGGGAGATTTCGGTACCCGGCGGCTCTTCTAGACCCATCCTCACCTCCACACATGCCCGGTTCACCAGCAAGCAACAGAATTTAGGAGGTCCCGTTGACTCCCATCCATACAGGTCCAGAAGGCAGGCAGATACTACCAAAACCGAGCCTAAATGCTCTTGACTGAGCTTGCCCTGAATCAAAGGCTGCAGCGAAGCCCATAGATTACCCACAATCTCCTTAAGCACCAGGCTTTCCGACTCGACCCCGGGTGGAGGAAGAAATGGCGGTATTTGAGAGCACATCTCTAACCTGTCCTGATCTGACACCCGGCAGAAGTTTTGGGAAACGTTTTGCAACAGCAAGAGCAGATCAGATGAGTGTTTAGCCCAAGCCTGTGGTCTTATACTAGATGACAACAGATGTCCCAACAGCGGAAGTCCTTTTTCATGGCTGAGAGTTTGTTTTTTGAGTACGGCTCTACATAGAGCCAGAACAGCACCACGGGTGAGAAGCTGCTCGAGGCCTTGCGGTAAAACACATACAGCATTTAAAACCTGATAGCAGTCACAAGCCAAAGCCTCGTCCAAGGTAGACGTACTAGAAGTGGTCTGGGAATCTGTAGCACTTCCAGTTTGAGATCCAGAACCACTCTGGGCTTCATTCCCAAGTGTTTTTGTCTGTTTATCTGTCCAGTTGGGTCCGTTCTCCAGTATGCTCAGGATCAGAGGGACTGTGCTGAGAAGTTGTGGATGAGCAACCATGCTTGCGTCTGTGCTGAGAGCAGCCAATAGAGCAGTGCCCAGAGAGATCAACTCCTCTGGGGGCAACCCGGAGCTGTCGTCACCCCGAAATGCTGTAACCAGAAGGCGTGCGGGAAGATTTAAACCTACCGCTTCAAAAATCCGATGTAGAGTCCCGGTATCCAGCTGTCCTGCTGGACACAACCTTGTGATCTAAATGCAAGAGAAAACAATGAGCAATGCAATATATGTTTTCGGTATAGTGTGGATGAAGAGGATAAGCTGTTGTTTACCAGGAGAAGTGCTGCTAAAATGTGGCTGTCATTCTTGGCATGAGTGAGAGCATGTAGACAGCGCTCCAGAACCTCTCTCTGAGACGGAGACAGGCCACTGGGGTCAGAACTGCTCCCTTCTGCTGCATTTGGCTCCGTACTGGGTGGATGCTGCAGGGTAGGGACTTCCTCTGGGCTGAGATGACACCCATTCTCTGCCATCTTCTGGGCCAACCTGTAAACAACCATCAGATATTCATTCATGCATCAGAAGTTAACTTCTTTAGATACTAGTCCAAATGTATGCATATAATGCCTGGTGTGTAATTAACTTACTGGTCGTGCTTCAATATGTTAGATTCAGGACTGAAAAAATGTCTAAGGCATAATCAGGTCAGCAGGTTAACAGGTTTAAGAGTTCACGTCAGGTTAAATCACACAGCTGTGAAGTAAATGACTGTTGTTTAATGTTTTATAATTGTATTGTAAAGAACTAACGTTAAGATGTTAAGAGTTTACATAACTAAACATACTTAACTAAACATACTTTAAAACCATATTCAACACATATAAATGTCTTAAACTACGTAGACTAGTGTAAATCAAATTTAAAAAGCCATAAATATATACCATATGCAATGAACAAACCTGGAGCTAGGCAGGATTCTCGCACACACGTTGAAGCTACGTGGAAACGGAAAAACTCGAGAGACATAATGAGAGAAGTCGATTTCAAAATAATAGTCTTCGGTAAACGAAAGAAAAACAGCAATGCGGTGTGTGCGACGGATTTTGCGAATAATATTGAGAACTATGTTTTTTTTTTTAGAAATAAAAAGTCTTAATATCTGTGTATGTGCGCATTTGGAATGAAATAACACAAATATGATCCCAGACTGTGAAAACAAGAGGGTTTTTATTGTATTAAGCACGTTGAGCAATGTACCTGTATACGCAAATAACTCAAAAACAAAGTAATAAATAGTAAAGCAAGGTAAATTACATTAGGCACATGAATACTTAGAGTGCAAATATTAATATTATGTTATATTGTAATATAAATATTAACATTAATAATACCAAAATCTAAAATTAATTAATAATAAATTAATAAAATTAAATAAAACACTAAAAAGATAAAAAAATACTGATTTAATATAGTAAATGAATAATTGTATTAATAAGATATAAATAATACCAATACAATATACTATTAATAATTATAATATTAATATTATACTATAAAACAAACATTAATAGAACCCAAAATATTAAACCTAAAACAAATGAATTCATTAATAAATAAATAATGCTTTGCTTTGCTTTTCCTGACTGGAATTACAAGTACCTCTATGTAACACAGGAAACAGGAAATGATGAAACAGGTAATGGCTAATGCTCCTCTGTTTGAAATCAAGTGTGAGCGAGTGGAGTAGTCCCGCATTTATTTAGCAATTATTACTGTTATCCACCAGAAGTAAACTACTTACGGACCAGGAGCAACACTATACAATAACAATAAGCGCAGTGAGTTTCTACACAAAACCCGTACTCCGAGCTTGAGCGCGAAATTCAATGCTCCGTCCATTCAGTCTCAACCATTAATAAATAGACAAACGGTCCCACTTTTTTTGTTTAGCTGACTCAATGAATGATCTCTGTTTTTAGATGTCTGCTCCACTCCCGCAGAAGGGACTTGGTCCGGGTATGCCTGTCATGCCCCCTCAGCAGCAGCAGCAGCCGCAGACACACATGCCTCCTGGTCTTTCGCAGCCCGGGATGCCCCCACAAGGTGCCCTGCGGGAAATTTCTCCCGTTTACCTGTGCCGCATCGGTCAGGAGACTGTCCAGGACATCGTCACACGCACTATGGAGATCTTCCAGATCGCACGGGCCACTCAGGTGAGTTTGCGTCCGCGATTTTTAAATATACAGGGAATCGAAGAACGCTAGTGCACAGTAGGCTACTAGTAGCTAGTCATTCCTAGTTGCTTCATTATGAAATAATGGTCCAAGTGCAACATTTGATCAAATCAACAGATGCAATTATGCTATAGTACTATTTTTTTTTCAGCGTTTGGATAAGGAAATAGAAATGTTAAAAGTTCAAACTATGCAACAAATGTCATATTTTGATTATTAATATCAATATCTCTTATAATCAGAGCAGCATTTAAAAATCACATGCACTACAATTCAAACACACTAATATCTAATAAAATGAAAAGTCTGGTTGTGTTTCTTCTAGCTTCCCAACGGTGTGACACAGAGTCAGGCAGCATATCAGGACCGCTTTGGGAAGCTGCAGGAGCATCTGCGTCAGCTGACACTGCTCTTCCGTAAGCTGCGTCTGCTATATGAACGCTGTGTAGAAATGACACCTGACTTCCAGGAGTCTCCAGCTGAGGTGAGTCTCATCCATGTTTATTGATGCACAATACAGCCTCTTCTGTTTGTTCATGTGGCCTTTTGATAAACGCAGCCCTTTTCCTAGTTAAATATTTAATGGTCATTTCACTTATTCTGAAATACCCTCTTAGGTCACAATTGACATTTATTTAAAAAAAAGCATTTTTAGATATTTTAGATGTTATTTTGTGTGTAAGGAATGTATTGTATTTAGAAATAGACTTTTTATTTTGTAGTTTAACCCTGTGTAAAGCCTGACATATGAAATAATAATCATAGAAAATTCTTTTGAACCTTTAGATGAAATATAAAAAAAAAACTAGTGCTGGGCAACGATTAATCGCATTCAAAATAAAAGTTTTTGTGTACATAATATATGTGTGTGCTGTGTAGATTTATTATATACTGTATGTGTGTGTCTTTATATATACATAATAAATATACACAGCGCACACACATATATTATGTACACAAAAACGTTTATTTTGGATGCGATGAATCGCGATTAATCATTGCCCAGCACCAAAATAAACAAAACAAAAAAATGTTTTGTATCATATTTGATACATAAGGCTTTTATGGCTCATAAAGTATGAAATAATGAGAATATGGAGCTCATTCTCAATTTGGTGCAGTTGCTGGTATTTATATGGCTAAAAAGTAAGATGAAATTTTGATAGCATGTAATGTAAATCAGTGAGATCTTTATAGCAGAATAACAGACTACTTATTAACATGAATTGATCATAAAGGGTTTAGATGAGCAAAATGCCAAAGTCATTGATACCATTTAATACAATGATAGAGGTGAGTATGAACATGATTTGAGATTACATGTCATGCTTGGCTGAATTCATTACAATACTGTACATTATGAAATTAATGTTGTTAAAACATTTTTTAAACAATAGCAAATTAAGCAGCTAGGCTTACTTGGCCTCATATCGTCTCATATAGTCAGACTGCAAGACTAAAATAGATTTACATGTGAATTTACTTGCATGTATTATGTCAATTGAATAAACAACTTCCTTACAGGAGTTTATGCGGATGTATTAAAAACTTGTATTAAAGCTTGCAACAATATTTAAAGCTGCAGTCCGTAACTTTTGGCACTCTAGCGGTTAATAAACAGAACTGCGTGCATCTTGTGGAAGAACATTGTAACCGGAGCTACTTCTCTCTGTTTATGTCTATAACGAATCACGCAGGTACTGGGCTGCTCCGCAGCAGTACCTACCCGAACCAGTCTGAAATAGTCCGAATATAAACACTTATTATAGGTGTACCGTAGTGATTCAGGACAAGCCAAAAACACGGTTTGGAAAATGGATTCATGGTGCACTCGCTTATTATATAAATTTTGTAAATTTTGAACACAAAAAAGTTACGGACTGCAGCTTTAACTTACCAGCGACCACCCACAGCAATAAAGCAACAAAGTTTCATTTCATGCTATTAGAGGTAGATGTTATGTATCATTAGCTGCTATACTCAATATTAAGAATGGTGTGGAAAAACAATTAATCTTTCAAGAATCCTGTTTCCATCAGGGCAGCGTGAACAAGTGTTTTGAAATCCATTGTGGGCTGCAAGAGCTGTGAATCAAGTCAGATCTTTGCTGAATAAATCAAGCATTTGCTAAATAAATATTATACCTCGGTGCTGTTACTACTTTTGATATTGAGACCAAGCTCTAAAATAGGTTTTGTTGTTTTCCTTTTTGTGGTAATTTTTATATATATATACTACAGTAGGGCCTGTAGTAAGTCTGAGACTGCATTGAAAATATGGGAAACGTTTTTGAAACATTTTAAGAGACAATGCATATTTTTTTGAAAAATGTACTGTTAAAATTAGAATTAAATTTCAGGAGACCGTTATTATTATTACAGATATCATTTCAATAATGTGTTTTCTTCCATCCTTCCAGCTGGTTCCTTATGTGGGGGAAGAGACGACACCTGTGAGAGTGGAGCCGTGCAGCCCAGCTGTTATTCAGGAGAGACAGGAGGTTCTAGAGGTTTGTTTCATTGTTTGTTTCATTGTTTCATATCTCTGAACATACTATTACACTGCAGTATATACCTACAAGATATTATGCTCTTTTATTTGGGTGAAAAAACACCCATATAACTATGGGCAGAGGGTGAACCAACTCTGGATGAGAAGTGTGTGTGTGTATATATA